TTGGAAGTTCGCACAATTGAGTTTCTGGCCAAGCTGTGGGTGGCTGGTAAGAGTCAGGAGTCTTGAACAAGAGTTAAAAGGAAACTAGCAATTTCAAGCTTTCAGAAGGGAGAAGAGGGTGGAAAGATGGAGGGAGTAAGAGGTTTGGGGAAGGTGGTGACTGATGCCCTGGACCATGAACGACAGGTAGGATTGGCTGAGACAGGAAGCAGCACCCCCCTTATTTTTTTATTTTTTATTTTTTGCAAAGGAAGGATATAGAGGTAGGAAAGTTGGGACCTGGTAAAGAAATGTGAGCAAGTTGAGCAAAGGGAATTTGTGGCTTACAGTTAAGGTTGGATTGAGGCTAGACTGTAAAGGACCTTCCATGGGCTCTTCATCCTCTAGGATAGTGGCTCCAAAAATGTTTCCCAAAAGAACCCCACATACTTACCCTTCTTATTAATGCTCTCTGATGTTTTCTTTTTTGTTTTTTTAAGATTTATTTATTTATTTTAGAGAGAGAGTATGAGCAAGGGGAGGGCCAGAGGGAGAGAATCTCCAAGCTAACTCGCCACTGAGCATGGAGCCTGAGGAGGGGCTCCATCCCAGGACCCTAATATCATGACCTGAGCTGAAATCAGGAGTGGGACGCTTAACGGACTGAGCCACCCAGCCACCCCTCTGAGATTTTCTATCCCATTTTAAACTTCATATTTCATTTATAAAGAATTCTGTCATGGCCCACCAATGGAATTACATACATATCCTGTTAAGAGATCAAGACCCACAGTCGGTACACACTGTTCCGGTGAAATTCATGAACGTGTGTAAGCCAAGGAATAGAAGAGGACTTCGGGAAAATGGACTAGACTGTTTGCACAGGGTGACTAGAGGGGAAGAGACAGGAAAATGTAGCTTGAGTAGTTGTTGTGGACACTGGGAAAAACGTTTGTTGAATTAATGAATGTAAAGAGAGTAGGGCCATTGCAAAACGTGCTGAGAGGGAATTAGAGAATGATTTAAGAGTGATGAGAGGGGAAATGAAGAAATGCATGCAAGATGTACGTGGAGGACCAAATAAGATTTTTTAAAAATCCATCAGTGTATATGTGTTTATGTATAGACATTGAACTAGTCATACATAAAATCAAAGAAGTTATATGAAATAATTGCCTCAAAAATTGTTTGAAGTGTTATAAGCAAATCTAAGCTACTCAAAACTAAGCTCACCAGTAATGCAATGGAAAAATTCATACTGCCTCAGGAGAAAAGGAAAGAAACATTTGTTTAGCATCTACTGAGAGTCAGGTATGCAATTTCTTGTTTGGTCCTCACAACCCTGTCAAACAAATATTGATGTGCTTATCCTACAAATAAGGAAACTGAGGCTCAGAGAAGTTTGTTTTTTTCCAAAGCTGAAGAGCTAGTCAGAGCAAAAGCGGACATCTGGACCCAGGTGTTCTGATTCTAAAGCTTGGGTCAATTATGAAAAATGTTACAATTATTTTCTAAAAGAATAAGGTGTATTCTATTTCAGTACACAGCACAACTTTTCAAACCAACTTGTGGGCTCAAAAGAACTCTTAATAATCTGCCCTTGACTATTTACAGAGGAGAAATAAAGAATTATAATTAAATGACAGGTAATGCCTTAAAAATAATTTTTTATTTAGTTTTAAAATTGCTGTAGTAGTTACAATTGGATGCAGGAGCCAAATATTCTAAAAACTTTAATTAAAAAACAATAGGGAAGCCATTTCAGGAACAGATGGGAAACTATTCATGTCTTTAATTATTCCCTCCCCCAACTGATTCCACGTGGGGAACAAACAAGTTATTTATCATATTAACACAAAATACCAACATGGGAGGTGCTAGAAATTTTACCCAGAGCTTGGATTTCAATAGAAAAGAAACAGATTAAATGTTAAACTTGGACTAATAACTAAAGTAGCAATTTCAAGAAAAAAAATGAATAAGTAAAAGGCAAACATTTAAGTAACAGCTCAAATTTTCACTAATATTTTAATGTCAGATCATTTTCAAGTTTGATGCCTTAGGAACTGAGGAAAATATCATGCCCTTTTTGTGAAATGAAGAACTTCGCCTTTTATTTTGTAAAGTGTCTATCTTCATGTAACTAACTCCTGTATATAAACTTGTTTTCCTAAATATCACGTGGGCAGTTTGTGCTGTTTGTTCTGGGTTCCAAAGACAAACACTACCAATAACCCTTGGAAACAAACAAACAACTGAACAGTTCCTATGGACAGGCACAGAGATATTTTGCCTTGACGTGGGGGTAAACCCCCATCTGTAGGTGGAGCACGAGCTCAGGCATTCTCTTCTGGTGCACCTGTGGAGTTTGATGAACACTCAAAAGCAATTTTCTCAGCAATCCAGAAGACATTGTTTTCTATCCTTTGGGTCCCACAGACTGAAATTAAAGCTTGGAACCTGTTATTAACTGTAGCACTAGTCATCAATTTAAATGGGATCCCTGGGTGGCTCAGTTGGTTAAGTGTCTGACTCTTGATTTTGGCTCTGGTCATGATCTCAGGGTCGTGAGATGGAGCCCTGCATCATGCTCCATGTTGGGCCTGGAGCCTGCATAAGATTCTCTCCCTTCCTCTACCCCTAGCGACACCCTCCCCCTTGCGTGCTCTCTCTCTCTCTCAAATAAATAAATATACTACCAGGATGACAAAAAACACAAGTGCCTCAGCAGTGATTTCTAGGTACATATGCACCATTAGAAATCTTTATTTTATTTTATTATGTTATGTTAGTCACCATACAATACATCGTTAGTTTTTGATGTAGTGATCCACGATTCATTGTTTTCGTATAACACCCAGTGCTCCATGTAGTACGTGCCCTCCATAATACCCATCACTGGGCTAACCCATCCCCCCACCCCCTCCCCTCTAGAACCCTCAGTTTGTTTCTCAGAGTCCATAGTCTCTCATGGTTCATCTCCCCCTCTGATTTCCCCCCCTTCATTTTTCCCTTCCTTCTCCTAATGTCCTCCATGCTATTCCTTATGTTCCACAAATAAGTGAAACCATATGATAATTGACTTTCTTTGCTTGACTTATTTCACTTAGCATAATCTCCTCCCGTCTCATCCATGTTAATGTAAAAGTTGGATATTCATCCTTTCTGGTGGCCGAGTAATATTCCATTGTATATATGGACAACATCCTCTTTATCCGTTCGTCTGTTGAAGGGCATCTAGGCTCTTTCCACAGTTTGGCTATTGCGGACATTACTAGAAATCTTTTCAGAGATGACATGTTTCCAACAGATAAAGCCTTATTAGATATATTCCCCTTGCTATAGAGACTTTTCCAATCATTTGATCTTCCAAATTTGGACAACTCTGAGGTGAGACATATCAAGTGTATCAGGCCCCAGTTCTGTTGGTAATAAATCTCCCTCAGAATTTCCATTGTTCCATCACAGTCATGTCTGCTGCATTGGGTGTGAGGAAGTTCATGGGATGGGAGATTTAAAAGTTAAGTGAAATGGTATTAAACTTTTAGCCAATCAGGACACATGGATCAATTTCAGATCAATCTTAAGAGTCATTTATTCTAGTAGGTTATCACTGTTATTGTGCATACAGTTTAAAAGAATCATAATTTGGGGTGCCTGGGTGGCTCAGTTGTTAAGCATCTGCCTTGGCTCAGGTCATGATCCCAGGGTTCTGGGATCGAGCCCAGCATCGGGCTCCCTGCTCGGTGGGGAGCCCGCTTCTCCCTCTCCCATTCCCCTTGCTTGTGTTCCCTCTCTCGCTATGTCTCTGTCAAATAAATAAATAAAATCTTAAAAAAAAAAAAGAATCATAATTTGATGTATCCAGGCCTTTGAGGGGAAATTCTTTGTGACATACATAAATGCACTACTATATATTATTTATCATACATATAAGATTAAGTATACATAATACAAATGCATATAATTTTTTCTATAACTCCATCTAAACTTTAGAAATTGCTAAAGGAAAATTTTTCTGACCTTTGTTAAAGACAGTAAGGAAGACTTTATTCAAGGGACCATTGCAAGTGGGTTTTACAACAGGGGTGTGAGTTGGGGCTCCATTCTGAACACAACAAAGAAAAGTGGGGATTTATAGCCAAGGAGCAGGGCTGGGGTCAGTGGATGGAAAATTTCTAAGAGGAAACATCAGGGCCAAGGGGATTCTGGCTAAACTGACTTGAAGGATTCTTGCTGAAGGCAGGCCGGGGGAGCAGATATCAAAGGTGAGGGATGCAGAATTTGATCAATATGGAAGGGGGGGGTCCTTAAACAGACACCGCAGAGCAGGATTCTTGCTAAAATTGAATAAGGGGGCTAAGGACAGAGCTCAAGATTTGAGCCTCCAGAAGATTCCAACAAGCCTGACTCGGGTTCGCTCAAGGTAAGAGTGTTTGTCAAAATACATTTAAAAATAATTATCTGGAAGGAAAAATTGATTAGAAAATCACCTCATTAAATCTTCACCTCTCAAAACACCGCAGAGATAGGAATTACCCTAATTGTTAGTGCTGCCACTAAGAACAAAAATTATTGAATGCTTCTGGGTGTCAGGCCCTATACCAGGTCTGGGACTAAAACATACTTAGGACACAATCTGTTCTTGCCAGGTTAGCCACACAATACAGCAATCAGAACAGGCAATTTGTAAATCAATTACAAAACGGCTGCCATTAAAGAAGATTTTCTGTAGATTTCCTTAAAGGACAAACAGGAAGAAAAAGAATCCCCCTTCAATCAAGACTCCTGCTTTCTTTTTCTGCTCGTCCGAGAAGCCCCCGCTCAGGCCGTGGCCTCCCGGCCTCGCTCCCTCGGCCCACCCACCACTGCTCGCCCACCTCTCAGCCCCTCTTCCCGGTCCCCGCCGGCACCACCACCGCGGAGGCCCCGGCGCCTGCGCACGTCCCCGGCTCACCCGCCGACAGGGGGCAGGCCACGGTTTTCTGTCCTCCGCGCCTGGACTCCGGCGCCCCTCTTGCCCCAGCCTTTCCCCCCAGGCTCCGGCCTGGATACGCTTCCTTAGCAACGGGTTGCCTTTGGCAACAGGAGGACGCGGGGCCCTTGGCTGGGTTTCCCGCGCCTTCCTACACCTGCTTACCGTAGAAGGCGCAGGCCGAACCATGTCGGAGATTCTGTGCCAGTGGCTCAACCAGGAGGTGAAGGTGTCCCAGACCGTGAGTGAGTGACACAGCCCGGGGAGAGCGGCCTAGGGGCGAGCGGGGCGCAGAGCCCCGGAGCGCGGCGTGCGGATGGAAGGTGGCGGGGAAGGCGCGAGCTGTGCAGTCCAGGTGCCTGCGGGGCCCGGCAGCGCCCCAGGCCCGTCTGGTGGCCCCAGTCACCTCAGCCTCTCCCATCCCCATCCTGCCGCTCCCGAGTTATCCATCATCACGGTGGGCCCAAGCCCGCAGTTTCTGATCTACGGTGCGGCTCTAAGCCATCAGAGGGTTTAGGGAGGTATCCTTCGTTCCTATGGAGAGAAGAATTTGCTGGACTCAATAATATGGCCCTGACATTATTCCCTTCACATCCTTAGAAGCATGGTAGGCTGGCAAGCCCATGAAATATGAAGCCTTAAAGCCAACTACTAGATGTGTGCCCCTGGACAAGTTACAATACCTTCTCTGAGTGTGTTTCCTCCAGTATAAAATAGATCCGATCACACTCTCCGTACCTACCGACCTAGCGGGAGAGGGGGTGTGTGTGAAACGGGTTAATGCAGCAGTTTTAGCTCGAAATTTACAAACATTAGCTATTTCCGACCACTCTTCACTCTTGGCTAAAGCTGACCTTATTCACTAATCTGATTATCGCAGCCGTCCAAAGTTTCTAACTCCCACAACCACAGAGGCAGTTGTACATGCTGGCAATTTCTGTGACAGCCGAGTAATTCCAGCAGAGCACTATCCTCCCGCTCAGCTTCTTTCTGTTGTTTCTTCAGCACTTCGTTTTCCAGCTGGTATGGTTTTTGCTCAAGGCAAGAGATTTTCAGCCCAAATCATTTCAGCCTGTTTTCGCAAAAGCACCCTTGCATAACGCCCAGTTGGTACCAGAGGGGCAATAGTGCCTACCCGACCTTAGGTCAACCATGGAATTTGCTAGACTAGTAGTGTTTCTGAAGCAGCAAGATATTCGTCGTCAGCATTAGGCTCCTTAATGTTGGAGCACCTCCAGTTGCATTTCTTGAGGCATAAACCCTAGACTTTTTCTTTGCCAAACCACACCGCACACACTCCCTGGGAACTGCAATATATTCTTTCACAGGATTCTATGATCATCCCATTTTGTCACTGTTTCTCACTTAAAATATGATGCTGATCACAGCACAATGTTTAGCACTTTTTTTAATTCCCTTTTTACCAGTGGAGCCAAAGTGCAATATAATTCCCTTAAGTTACACTCTTCCAAAGAAAAGCAGTTACGGGTTGCTGAGTTTAATTTGGTTCATTTACTTGGTTAGTAAAAAAAACCACACCCTTTGGTCAAGTCCCCAAGACTCTATTGCATATTGAAACACTTTTGAGAAAAGTAAATAAAATTAATAAGAAACATAACAACAGCAGTATGCCATTGTAATTGTATTAGTTGTAATTATAATTGTAATCAGTTTTTGGGATTTTGGTTTTGAGAGGAGGAGGAAGAATTACTTCTTTCTGTGAAGATTAAAAGACTGGAGACATTTTAAGTAAGAATTTTAACAACATAAGCTATGAATGGAAAATTCCTGATGTCTGCTTCCCTGAGGTTGTGAGCAGAGATGGCTGCGATAGTCTGCATCCCATTCATTAGGAATACATACTTATTTCTTGATCCTAACTGCTAACCGGAGTCTAAAGAGACAGTCCCTGATGTAACCAGATTCCATATTGTAAAAGGCGTTTCAGATTATAGGAAACACACTCAAATGCGTTTGGAAACAAACAAGATAGAATTTGTGCACCTGAGGAAGCACACTGCCAGTTGTTGATTCTGGTCATTAGATAAGACATTTTATGGTGTACTGTGGAAAGCTCAGAACTGTTCAGAGGAACTATCAGGGAAGGACTATACGTGGCAACAACCTCTGGAGAAAGTAATATAGCAACTTTCTCTATAAGGGCCCTGTTAAGAGGAAGGATTTGGAAACCAGACTGCCTGGGTTGGAATCACTTATCCACCACTTACTCGCTGGTGACCTTGGGCAATTTATTTACCTAAATGTCATGATACTCAAAATAGGAGTAATAATAATAGCTCATCGAGTTGTGTCAAGATTAAATGAGATAATAAATGTAAAGCATTTAGAATGATGCTTGGGACATAATAAATGCTAAATCTCACTTTTCAGAAGCTATCATACTACAATAAAATCACCAGTATGTCAGGATATTTGAACAAGGATGTTTATTGCTACATGGATTGTAGGGATAAAATCAAAAAATGGAAACCAATCTGAATATGCTTCAGTAGTAGCATACTTGGATAAATGATGCTGTACTCATGCTATGGATTGTTATGCAATTATTAGAAAGAATGAGTTAGTGCTATAACTTTTGACCTACAGGATATTCACGTATTTCTGTCAACTAAAAAATAAAAGTTATAGCTTATTGTGATGAGTATAATTCCATTTTTGTACCAACTGGGAAATACAGATACACAGACACACACACACACACACAGACACACACACAAACACACATCTATCTGTTTATATTAGCACAGAGAGATATGTGGAGAGACATATACATGAATCTTCATATTGTCTGTTTTTGTAAGCATAGAGAAAAGTGGGAGGATATAAACTAGTGTATTGATATTGGTTACCCTGGGAAAGGAGAAGATTGCTGGCTTTTCTTTATACATCAGTGTTACTTGGCTTGTTGCTTGCATTGCCTTCATATTTTGAAAGGAAAATTCAACATAGCATTACCAATAGAAAATCAAAAAAAATCAAACTTCATATGACAAATTAGGAGAAAAAGATGTTTACCATCTTTTAACTGAAATTAGTAACATCTTCTAATAAGGTATTAGGGAGGATTACATAAGAATTATTTTCTTAAATGAATTTTATAAATGCAAAAATAATAAAAAATAATAAACAAAAATATTATTAGACACTTAGGCACTTACACCAGACCCTATGCTAAGCCCTTTACATAGGTTTTTGTCTGTTTGTTTTTGAATTCTAAACGAAGGCCCTAAGAGGCATTGTCCCAGCTGTAAAGATGAGTAAAAGAAGCTAAGATGTTTGGTTATTTGTTCAGGGTCACAAATCTAGTGGATCCTATAGCTGGAATTTGAAGCTAGATGTTTGACTTGTGCTCTTACGCAGTATATTGTATATTGCAATTTACAGTGAGGGAATATATTTTTTTAAAACCTCAACTTTCTCAAGTGTATTCATTTGAGCTCCTTTTAATAAGGATTGCTGTTCAGTTTGAAGTTCTAAGAAGTACACAAATTCAACCACCCAGGCATGTTGTAACTTCACAAGGTATAACCTAATTCCTAGATGGGTAAATGGCTAAGGTGGATTTATTAGTGTTGGTTTAGAAGCGGTTCAGTCCATATGTTGCTTGCTAGGACAAAGAAAACAATGAGAATGGCAAGTGAGTGCATTTACACTGTCTTGGTGAGGCTGGGTAATGGTTCAGTCATTGGCAAGCAGCTAAAGCTGATTGATTTCTGCATTATTCTGAAAGGTAGAAGTCAGTTTGAATAAAGCATACTATACTGAATTTCCTGTTGCCTGGACTACCCTGAGTGTCAGCAGTAAAGAAAACAAATTCCAATGATCCTCAATTGAGAATCGTCTCCCTCCACTTAATGAGGTTTCTGGGAGTCACCAGAGATTTGATTAGTCTCAACATATGAAGATTCAAAACTTTGTTACTAAAGCTCAGGGTCTCCAGTGAGTTTAATTTAACTAGACCATTTCTCCTAGAGAATGGTGCTTAGATGTATATGGTAATAAAATGTCTTGGAATACAAAAAGTTGCTCAACCCAAAATTACATCTGAAATTCAAGCAGTTGTTTTCAAGCAGTTGTTTCTATAATGAAAAAAAAAAAAAGTAATGTAGAGTAATGTTACTAAGAGATTTGCTGTAAAATTCTTTAGGAGCTCCTAATTATTTTCAAGAATAAGCATTGCCTCTGTTTTACAAAACTCTTATGAATTCACTATATGAGGAAACTAGCAATGGAGTGTCGTAACTGAACGTTCTCCAAAAATGAGTAGAAACATTTGAATTCTATGTATTGTACAGATCAGGTCTTTTGTAAACATGGGTATATACAAGATAATCCATATTCTTTTGGATTCTGGGTGTGGTTATATTGAAAATTGTAAATACCTTATTATGCATATTTTAATTGTTTCAATAATCTTAAACATTGTTGTCAATAATAACAGGTGTAATAAAGAGAAAATTGGATTTGGGACAGTTAAGTTTCTCTATCAATTTTGTAGCATCTGAAATATAAATAATTGTCTTTAGGTCCCACTTTTATGCCCCGAGAAGTAAGAATAATAGTTGTTCTAGTTCCAATTATGGAATGAATGAGTCATGGGGATGAAAGGTACAACATAGGGAAAATAGTCAATGGTATTTAACAGTGATGTTTGGTGACAGATGGTAGCTACACTTGGGGGTGAGTCCGGCATAAGGCATAAAGTTGTCAGATCATTATGTTGTGTGCCTGAAACTAATGTAACATTGTGTGTCAACTATACTTCAATTGAAAAATGGAAAAAATTATCTATGTTTGGAAGGATATGAAATGAGATTGGAAATGGAAAACACCTACCACAGTGCCTAACATCTAAACTAGATCTAGATACTCAATGAATATTATTTCAACTTTTCTTCTGTCTCTTACTTTAGGATAATGCCTACTATCATGCCTGTCCTATAATAGGTATTTAGTAACTAATTGTTTATTACATGAGAGTGTGCCAGTGAGGCAAAGTAAAGTATTATTTTAGGCTGAACTTTATGGATTTTTTCCTCTTGAGAACGTCACCCTGAGTACTTTGATCCCCATCTTTGTGATTTCAGAAGCTCTGTTTTATTACTTTAAGCAATTTTTTAGGAATTGTTTCATACTAACTGAGATTACATTTTGATTTTATAAATCAGGATACCCATTTATCCTGAGGAAAAAAATAGCAAAATAACTTATACTGGCAATTGTA